ACAGGAAAGCTGAGCGTGTGCACGTGCACATGTGTCACTGTCATGAGAGAGAGGCTGAGTGTGTGTGTGTGTGTGTGTGTGTGTATGAGCTGGGGAGGGGGGAGGGGGGTGTAGACGATCTCTTCTGAAGCAGCCCCAGTAGGCATCAGCACTCAATCATCCCAGATCTGCCAGACGACACCAGCAGAGAAAACACATTACCCGTGTCGTGTCGCCTCGTCGTCTTCTGTTGTCTTCTCTTTATTATATTTAGGGCTGCCTTGCCTCAGGGTCAGGTGACAATCTGCATTCCCTTTCTGCAAGTTTTTCTCAAAACTGTGTGGACTTTTTTGTTTTATTATTTAATTTCATTTATTTATTTATTTTTGCATTTTATTTTTCAGCATTTTTTTTTTCTACCTCACTGTTAAAGGGGAGCTGTTGATGGTTTTTAATCCCTACATGAGTCCCGTTGCAGATGACTCTGCTGGCATGGTGTCAGACAGAAACTAACAGCGAGCAGCGCTATGCATTAGACAAAAGATGAATACCCTCAGAAGGGAGGGAGGGAATGGAGAGAAGAGGCAAAGAACCCATTTGAAGTGCCTGTCTAAGTTTTAGTAAAAAATGGATTCTTTATAACAGCATATAAATATATAAATGAAACACTTAAAGACATTATCAGGCACTTTTATTCCCCCTGCCTTTTGTGTGCTGGTCGAGGTAGGAAACAGGAGGGAAGTAAACACATCTGCATATCTGAGTCATTGGTTCCAAGGGAGATGTTATGGGCTGCCTCTGCAAATCTCTTCTCTGTGTTGCTTACAACCTACCAACAGCAAAATCAGCCTCCCTACACTGCCGGTGCCAGGTCAGATATTTCAACAGTCTTTTCACTGATGTGGTTAGATTTGAGAGTGGCAGATCTGATTTCAGATCTCCGGATTTCAAATGGCTGTGCACCCTTTTAGTGTATCCATTCTCAGGTCTGAACACATGTGCCCACGGTCTACAGCAGAGGAAGGTGGCCACTGCTGTGTCACTGCTGTTTAATGTCCAACAGACGATAACTTGGCACAGTTTGTGTAACGGTGTGGGCCAAGACCGGTCAGGCCCCCTGTCTCTGCAGTAGCCATCACCTGGACAACCAAGCATGCCAACCCTGTGGCCACATTTAAGGGATCGGAGTAAAGGCATCAACTGGGAATAAGTATGAAGCTGGTGACAGGTGTGTCCCAAACAGACAGTGGGATTCCTCCCAGTTAAACCCTTTCATTCTTGGTACTACTTCTACTACAAATAATAATAATAATAACTTTATTTATACAGAACTTTTTAAAAGAATGTTACATGTGCTTTACATGGTTCAAAGCTGAGTACAATATGAAGAAATAGAATTAGGCAATGAATGAATTAGACACGTTAAAATGTAATAAAACTAAATGAAAACTACTCTAGATAAAAGCAATAAAAGAGTTGGTACAACAGTGGCAATAAAAACATAAAACAATGTTAGAAATTAAAACAGTATGCTACTAATTTTAAAAGACCTTTTTAAAAGGATACGTTTTAAGAAGTGATCTAAAACATGTCACTGACTCTGAACGTCTCAGATCATCAGGCAGGGAGTTCCAGTCCATCTACACCAACTTCCAGCCTTGTTGCTCCACAGTCCTGTAATAACAGATTAAATACCCACGAGTTAAACCTGCAGTAACCTTTCTTTTACCAGGTGCTCAGATTGTTATCTTCTTATTTCATAACATCACACCTTGTACTCTGTACATGTACTGTATATGCTGGTGTGCACTGTACTGATTGATTGATTCCACGGTTCATAGCGAGATTTCAAAGAAGACCATGAACAAATGAAGCACTTTGAACTTCTCTGTGTGGGTTTTGACGGCCATGCCCAGATTTCTTCTAACCTTGAGATCCTTTCCCTTATCTGTTGCTCTTGTTCACTTTCTATGTTTTTGTGTTTCTTCCTTCTGGCCAGCGAGAGGACGCTTTCACTGTGGCTGTCACCGT